GCCGAACACGACGGAACGCCTCCCGTGCAGCCCCGGAGCCCGGGCGGAACGCAGCCCCGGAGCCGGAGGAGGCCGAGCGCGGGCGACCGGCCGGCCAGCCCTCTGTCTCCAGATCGTGAACCAAGAGACTCACGGTGGAGGTGGCTGTAGGAGCTGATGGCCACCGGGGGCCAGGCTGGAGTCACCTGTGGCCGGTCACAGGGGTGGGAGCTGAGGGGGGCGGCCGCGCACAGGGACGAGCAGAGGAGACGCGGAGACGAGCTGAGAGAGGAGGACAGAAGGCAGGAGGCAGGGTGCCCGGGAGGGAGGGAGGGAGACGGTGAGAGGCAGAGGGAGACGGGGACAGGCCCCCTGCATACGCCTGCGGAGCGTAGGAAGGAGACGTGTCTGTTTGGGGACCCTCATGCCCCCTCACAGGGCCCTTGGCCACCTGCACCCTGGACCAGTCCCAGCGCCTGCATGTGGGGCCGCTGAGTGACTTGGCTCATTTGTTCAAAACAAGTGCTGACGGTGCCGGGGATAGAACCAAACTATCTGTGCGCCCAGATCCGTCTTTCCAGGAAGGGGCGCGTCTGCTGGGGCAGATAGGGCGGGACAGCCCCTGGCAGTACGTCAGGGTGACAGGCCACCTGCCTGAGGCTGGTGCTGGAGGGGCCTGGGCACCCAGCGGGGGGCGGGGGGCGGAGGCGGGGCACCGGTGAGGGGGCGGCTGGGGTGTCTGAGCGGGTCCCTCGTGTGCAGACGCGGGCTCTCGAATGGGGCGCTGGGAGCGATGGGGGCGGGGGAGGCCGGGCTGCGGGTTTAAGGACCCGACGCCTGGCTCAGGGACACAGGGCAGCCCAGGACCCTGCAGGAGTTGTCAGCCTGAGTGACAGAGGCTGAGGCAGTTAACTGGCAGGAGAGTTTCACCTGGTGGTGAAGGGCGGGGTCGAGGCAGGCCTGTGGGGCCAACCCCAGGGGTGGGGCAGCGTGCCCACCCACGCAGGGTTTAACCCCGGGAGTCCCACGTCCTGGAGCCCCCTCGGTCCAGGGTGCAGTGTGGCAGTTGGTCCCCCTGAGGTGGGAGTCCTTCTCTAGGAGTCTGTGCCTTCCGCTGTGAGGTACAGATGGCAACCAGGGACCCGGGTTGAGGCGTCTCCCTCCCCAGAGTCCGAATACCCGCCCCCCGGCCCCATTCCCCAGACACAGCGCACAGTAGGTGCCTGCACAGGTCTCGCGGGCCTTGTGGCCCCGATACCCGCGGGACACACTCAGGGGGTGCCCGCGTGCCAGGGCCATCCTCGGCGGCGCAGCAGGTCGGCCACTCGGGCCGCACGTCGGCCTGGCTCTGGCTGGGCGGCCGGTGTGCGGGAGGCTCCCCTCCGGCTTCCTGCCTGCTCTGGCTTCCATCGCTGCCTCTCTCTCAGCGGGGCGGCGGGGATGCGGTGTGGGAGGCGTGGTCCGGCCCGTGGGTAGCTTCTGGCGGCCCCACTCAGCAGAGGGACGCTGTCTTGGCCCCGAGCGGACAGGGCGCTGATGCCCATTTTGCCCTGAGGTTCTCATGTCGGGAAGCGCTTGGCTCCTTCCGTGGGCTGTTGTGTCTTCTCAACAGCCCAGCGAGGCAGCTGTTACTGGTCCCACTTCATGGGCAGGGGATGGAGGCCTGGAGGGCTTGCTCCTTGTCCAGGTCCCTCAGCCAGAAGGTCGGGACCCTGGGCTGCGGCCGCCCCTTTCTTGAGCGGACACGCCTGCTGGTACCAGCTCCCTGCTGAGGCTCCGAGGGAGGCCGGGCTGTTTGAAACGTTTCCACGGCACAAGCTGGAGCGCAGGCCGCCCCTGACGCACGGCCTGCCAGGGGTGAACCCGAAATTGCCGCTCCCCCCACCCCTCACCCCCTCTTCCTCCTCAGAGGCCAAGGGTGGAAGAGGAGCGGGGTGGGGAAAAGGAGAGGCCTCCCAAAGAGGAGCGGCCCGAGACGCAGGCGCCAGGGGCCGGACACCCGCCTGCTTCCCGCCCTGCAGAGGGGCCCTTCCCAGACCCCCTTCCCAGACCTTCTGGGCTAGAAAGTGGCTGCTGAACATTTTTGCTATAAAAATTATGTTTGAAGAGCATCACTGTAGCTAAATCTCTCATACAGCAGACGGTTTCTTAAAGTGAACGCTCAGAAGAGGAATTTCTAATGAAGGATTACGAACACTTTATACCAAGCTGTGCTCCAGAACGCCTGGGTTAGGCTCCAAGGCGGGGTCGTCAGGGGGTGCTGGGCATTCTGTTTTGGGGGCACAGATGAGTGGGCTGCTATGGAAGAGGCTGGCGCTGTCAGATGGCAACAGGGTGCCTGGGGAGGGGGCAGTGATTTCGGGGTGGGAGGACGTGATGGAGGGGGCTGGGCAAACGCGCGGAGGCTGCTGGGGTGTGGAGGGGGGCAGAGGCAGCCCCCACTTTGCCCGAGGTGGCCCTCGCCCTGTGTCTGTCCAGGCTGTGCCCACGGCTGTGATGGCTGGGGCTCATTCCTGTGGGCCGCAGGTCACGTGATCGGCAGCATTCCCTGGGCAGCCCTTTGGTGGTGGGTGTTTTGGGCTTAAAGGACCCAGGGGAAGCAGAGCCCTGGGTAGAAGGCAAGGTTTAGGGAGAGACGCCGCAGGGCTGGGCCCCCCCAGGGCTTGAGTCCCATCTCGGCCACTGTGGGTTCTGGGCACGGCATGGAGCCCCCTGACCTCAGGGTCCTGGAAAATGGGGTGGGGTTAGTGCCCCTTCCAGCACCTGCTGGTGTTGAGGACACGGCCCTGAGCCCAGTGCGCGCATAGGAAGAGGGGGAGGGGATGTCATGGACTCACTGGGGCCTCGGGGCCTTCCCCAAGAGGCAGGATCCCGAGGGTTGCCCCAGGGTCAGGCCGCGGAGCCCCCTGAGCAAAGGCGCTGATGGAGGGGCTGCGCGGCTGCAGCCAGGATGGCGGGTTCCCAGCCTGGCTGCATGTGACAGTCACCCAGGGGCCTCAAAACCCTCCGCGTCCAGGCCCAGGCCACACCCCAGGCCACCAGCACCAGGACCGCTGGGGGAGGGGTACAGCGGGGCCTGGCCGCCCTTTTTCTATTGTTGTGACACAGACGTAATAAACTATACTGTCTTCCCTTTTTAAAGGGCACGATTCTGCAGTGTTAAGTACATTCACAATGTAGTGCCACTCAACTCCGGAACTTGATGATCTTCCCGTCCTGAACCGGTTCAAGAAGCAATGCCTCGCCCTGGCCGGTGCAGCTCAGGGAACTGAGTGCCGGCTGGTGAACCGAAAGGTCGCCGGTTCGATTCCCAGACAGGGCACAGGCCTGGGTTGTGGGGCCAGGTCCCTAGTTGGGGGCGTGTGAGAGGCAACCCACTGATCGTTTGTCAGGCACATCCATATTTCTCTCCCTCTCTTTCTTCTTCCCTCCCCTCTCTCTAAAAATAAAAAAATAAAATCTTAAAAAAAAATCCTCATTCCCTCCCAGCCCCAGGCACCCACCCTTCTGTGAACTATGTCAGGGACCCCTGTAGCATTTGCCCTTCTGTGACTGGCTTATTTCACGCAGCACAATGTCCTTAAGGTTTGTCCATGTTGTAGCAGGTGTCAGAAGCGCTTTCCTTTTCAAGGCTGAGTAATATTCCCTGTGTGCATGGACTGCATGTTTATTCATCCTCTGTTGGACACTTGGGAGCTGGAGAATACGCTTTTATCAATGGGAGGGGAGGGGGAGAGAGAGACATTGTTGTGACAGCAACATCACTTGGTTGCCTGCCACATACCCTGGACCAGGGATCGAAGTTGCAACCTAGGCGTGTGCCCTGACAGGGAATCTAACCCCCAGTCTTTCGGAGTACGGGGCGATGCTCCAACCAACTGAGCCGCCCCGCCAGAGCCAGGCTCTCCTGTTTTCAAAGCTCTCAGGTGTTTCTGCGCGTGCTCTGCTGCTCTGGTGTGGGCCAGAGGGCTGGGTTGCCCTGCTCCATGCAGGGCGGGACCGCAGGCGTCACCCTGGGCCTAGAGCCAAGAGTGCTCTCTGCTGTTATCACGTCCAAACAGCGAGGCACGAAGCCCCAGCCCACACCTGGCAGGGCCTGCTGGGGCCCGCCCAGCACAGGGACGCCGGTTCCCGTCCCTGTGGCTCCCTTTACTCCAGCCTGGGCTTGTTAGTGCACCGCGGAAGGACCAGCGGGTCACACGCACAGTTGTTGGGGGTCCGGCCTCACACTCGTCAGTCCCCCCGCTGCTTCTCCCACTTCACCCCTTAAACCCAGGGCGGCCCTTCACCTGCCCTGTGCACTCTCCCTGCCCACCGGGGCCTTCGGCTCCTCCTCCTGCAGAAACCGGGCACTCGGTCTGGTTTGCAGGTGGGAGGCGTGGGAGGAGCCAAGGGAACCCCTGCTTAAGCACCAACGCAGTACGTGTGGTTTGACAGCAGTTCGTGCAAGGAATCTGGGGGAAGCGTCCATCGAGTACCCCATTGAAGAAGCCCGCTCGGCGGTACCCGGCCAACACAGCCCTTGGCGTCCACGCTCTTGGGGCTGCTCCGAGCCCACGGCTGAGCGCGGATGCGTGGAGCCGCGCCGCCGCCGCGGAGCAGGCCGCCCCGAACCAGCACTGCCGGAGGGCCCAGCCCTCGGCCGAGGCCCGGCTGATCCCCGGCCCCCGACTCTCCCACGGCCCCGCCCACGCCCTCCCAGCAGGAGGCCACGCCCCCAGGCAGGGGGCTAAGGCCTCTCCGCGGGGGCGGGGGCGGAGGCGGGGGGGGGGGCGGGGGGGGCGGGTCTGGCCAACCGGGGCTCCTAGGGCTGGCGAGTGCGGCTCCGCCCCAGCCGCTTCAGTGCTGAGGCTCGGCGCCCGGCACCGATCGCGCTCCTGCCCCGGCGCTCGCTCGCGCTCCCGTCAGGCAGCGAGGCGGGACGGGGGCCCCGGAGCCCCGCGCGGCGCTGCAGACGCCCGAGCGGGAGGGGCGCGCTCCCCGGAAGTCGCTCCCCCGGCGCGACCCACCTGCCGCGGCGCCGGAAGTGGTCGCTGCCGCGCTGGTTCCGGTCGCTGGGGCGCGGAGGCCGAAGTGCCCATGGCGGAGGGCGGCGGCCCCGACGGGCGGGCCGGACCGGGGCCCGCAGGTAACGTGCGCGCCGCCGCTCGGGCGCGGGGGGCGAGGGCTGGCCCGCTGCGGCCCGTCCGGGGCCCGGCTCCTCGGGTCCGCGTAACAGCCCTCGCGCCGACTTCCGTTCCTAGGGAACCTGCGTTTCAACTGCCGGCCTGTTGGGACCCGACTGTAAACAGAGCACACGGGCTGCCTTCCGGCTCTGCGGGCGCGCAGGGCCCCTTCTCCACCTGCCCCGCGCGGACGGCGGTAGCGCTGTCAGTGACACAGCACGGCCGGCCGGCTCCCGCCGCGGCGGCGGCGGCCCTAGCGCTTTGTTTAGGGGCCTGGAAGGGCTCACGCCCAACACCCGACGTAGCTGGGAGTCGTAGGGTCTTACTCTGCAGTGTCCCTGCTGCGCACCTGTGGGTATGCGGGGACCGAGCCTCGTTTCCTCTGAACCTGCAGCGGGATCCCCTTCCTTGTGGTCTGAGTTTGCCGTGTGTATCAACCGCTGTTTGGGCCTCAGACCTTAGGGCTCCTGGGTGTCTTTGGAGAGGTGCCCCGTCAAAGAGCTTATTGGTCCTGACTAATAAACCAAGAAGCTTGTTACTCTTAAGTGCGCCCTGATTTAAGGTACAATGTTGACTCGAAGACCCGGCCAGGTACTACTTTGCAACCCTCCGTCCCTCCCTCCAAAAGACGTTCACTGAGAACCCAGAATTGGCCGGACCTGGGACACCCCAGTGAACAAGTCAGACGAAGCCCCTTGCTTCCTGGCCTTCGGCTGGCATTAGCTTTAACGCCAGGGACAGCCAGGACCTTGGGGGCCGGAAACGTTGCCTCCCGTGAGGGAGGGGTGGAGCAAGAGGTTCAGCCGGAAAAGAGGACGGAGACCTGCTTCTCAGTCAGGAGAGGCAGCTCGTGGAGGAAGGTTGGGCGCCGCCCACCTGCAGGCTCTCTGTGTCTGCCCGGCACTGCTTTGTGGGTTGCAGGCCTTGGAGTGGAAGGGCCACAGGGATCTTCACTTAATACTTAAGTGCCACGGGGGGTAATATGTTGTCATTGGAGAAGCTGATCAGCAAAACGCAAGCTTGCAGTTGTCCTTGCGTCTGGAGCGGGAGCCGGGGAAGGAAGGCTGCCCCACGCTGGTCCAGGTGGCGGGGAGACGTGAGGCCCAGAGGAGAACTTGGCAGATGTCATGGCTCCCACTTATCTGTCTGCAGCCGCCACGCTCTCAGTCTTGCCCACCCCTCCTCGAACTTCTTCATGGGTGAAACGGCGGGGTGGCGACCGCGGGGTCCTTGACGCCAGGTCTGAGGGCGGCCTGCGCGTTGGCCAGCCCCTGCTGCCTGCGCAGCGGCCTGCGGCTCACCTCCGCCAATGGGCTGCCGGCCCCGGGGGGCCAAGGGCCTGGTCCCCGCTGTTGGCTGTGCTTGTGGCTCCTACGCGGAAGGGTGCCTGAGAGGGGCGGGCTTCCCCCTGGGCTTGGTCCCCTGTGAGTCCAGGCAGTCCGGGGCCCCCATCTTTCCTCCTAAAAACTCGTTTTATTTAGGATCTCTATAAGTGGGTCTGGCTCACGGTGCCCCATCCCACCAATGTTTCTAAAATTGTCGGGTCTGGTGTTGGGAATGGGCTGCTTTTGAGACGGGAAGCTGCCTGTGTTTTTCTGGGCTCTCGAAGTTTCTGGAGCATGGGAGCAGTTTCTCATTGAGTGGAGGGGTCACTGCCGCTGGCGCCCCCTTCTGGGTGGGGGGAGAGGCTGCCCGGAGCAGACAGGAGCCCCTCTCTCCAGCGCAGGTCCCAACCTGAAGGAGTGGCTGCGGGAGCAGTTCTGCGACCACCCGCTGGAGCACTGCGAGGACACCAGGCTCCACGACGCCGCCTACGTGGGGGACCTGCAGACCCTCCGGAGCCTGCTGCAGGAGGAGAGCTACCGCAGGTGAGCGCTGCCGCCCGGGGCTGCTCCCCGCCCTGGAGTGGGGGGCTGCTGCCCAGCCTGCCGTGGAGACCGGAGGCTTTCCGGTTTAGAGGACAGGGCACGAGGGAGCCGAGGGAGCGCGGTCAGTTGTGTAGGCCACGGCCGGAGGTGTGGGCAGGGAGGCCCGAGTTCAGGTCCAGCCCTGTCACTGGACCTTTATCTTTTCGGGCGGCTTCTGGTCTCTCTGGGTGTCCGCGCCCACGGTGGTGCTGAGGTGGGCCTGTCACCTTCTTCAGTAGCTGGCTGCCCTGCCCCTTGAACGGCTCTTGTGGCTCTATGCCCTAAGCTGTGTAGGTGAATTTGGCTTCCCTGTTTACTTTCTCCTTGTGGTTCCTGGGGTCCCGACCGCTGGGTGGACTACATGTGACATCATTCCTGGTATACTCTTGTCTGGCTTCTCAGGTCCCCAGTTATCGGCCTCCAAGGCCTGGGGACAGCTGTCCGTCGTGCCGCGTGTGGGTGCTGGGGCTCAGTGTCCCGCCCCCTTTGTGGCCAGTGCCCCGCCGGTTGCCCTGCCCAGCCCCGCGGCCCTTCCAGAGCCGCTCCAGGCCTTCCTCCCAGCAGCGACGCCTGGCGGTCCCTTCTCCGCACCTGGGGCGCTGGGAGAGCTCAGAGTCTTCTCTTGAGGGGGCTTTCTGGCGGTGCGTGTGCCGGAGACTGGACCCCCCGCTAAGTTTGAAGCTCCGCCCCCAGGCCTGCACCCCACTTTTTCTCTGGGCCCTCTGTCCCGTCATCCTGGTCCCCATCAGGGCTGGGCGGGCAGCAGGTTGGGAGAAGGAAGGCCTGTGTGTGGACGTCTCCTGTCCCCGGGGGGTCGCTCCCGAGAGGTGTTTCTGACACTGCGGAAGGGGGCTGCTTTCTCCTTCTCCTTGTACTGTCTTAGCTCTCTTCCTTTACAGCAGAATCAGGATTAAAAATGAAGCTCTGCACGTCTGCAAAGGATTGTCACATGGAGACAGCAGGTGGATTACACACGAACGCTTACTGTGACTGATGCAAGCCCCAAGGGAACATTGAATTTGCTGATGTAGCAGTAGAATAAAGTCAGCAGAATAAAACAGTTCAGCTAGGTCTTAGACCCTGGATTTTTATAGTGCTTTTCCAAATACTTTATTTCTTCTTTTAATACTTAGGCAGAGTGAATCTCCTGTTTCTTTTTTTATTTTTCTTTTTTAGTTTTTAATATTTTATTTTTATAGGGGAAGGGAGGAAGGAAGAGGGAGAGGAACACCGATCAGTTGCCTCTTGCCTGCGTCTTGACTGAGGACTGAAGTGCAACCCGGGCCTGTGCCCTGCCCGGGAGTCGAACTGTCAGCTTTTTGTTCTGCGCGATGACGCTGGCTGGGGCCAGTCTCCTGTTTCTTGACGATAGCGTTGCTGTGTGTTCCTTCGGTGACGAGTCCTTGGGCGTCCCTTGGCCTCCTTGGCCGGTGGAGGCTGGTTCCTGGCCGCAGGGGGACCCCGGGCCCGCTGCATGTTCCTGGGCCACCGCTTCCGGGGCCTGGGTACCCACGCTCGGCTGAGAGCTGCTTTGGGATCCCTGGGAGAGCCGAGCCGCGGCTGGTGGCTTGTCGGCCATGGCGTGTCTTGACAGGGAGTCCTGGTCCGATTGTCACCTCTGATGAAGGCCGAGCTTGGTCAGCGTCCTTCTGCTGCCGTTGGCCAGGAGTGTGGGCCCCGTGCAGCCTTGCTGACTCCCGCAGGCGGTCATTTGTGTTGTGTCCGGCTAGGGGACCACGGTGGTCACCCAGCCCCAGGGAGGGTACTGAGGCCTGGAGCATGGGCGGCAGCTGCCGACAGGGGCGGTGGGGGGGCGAGAGCTGGGGCCGGGGGATTGGGGCTGGGGCCGGGGGCGGGGGCTGGGGGCGGGGGCCGGGGCCGCGGGCTGGACCCCACTCTGTGCTGCCCCGCCCACCCAGGCAGCCTCGCCCCTCATCCCAGCTCTGGGGAGAGACCCTGAGGTATGAGAGCCTGTCTATCAGGCGCGTGTGGCGCGCCCCAGCTGGGGGCCTGGCCCACCACCCAGGCCCGCGCCCTGACTGGGAGTCGAACTGCGGGGCGCAGGCCAGCGCTCACTCCAGGAGTCACACTGGCCTGGGCGGGTTTCTTCTCTGTAGAAGGGGCTCTTCGTTGCCGCCCTGCCCCGGCTGGCAGGGTGAGCCCGTGCACGCAGCAGAGCGCCCACGGGAGCGCGGCCGAAGCACGGGTGACCAGCTGGCCCCGCTCGTCTCCGGGTCCCGCCGGGCAGGCAGGGGCCCGGTCGCCGCCCCGCGCCGCCCCTCACCGCCCGCCGCCCTGTGCTCTCTCGTAGCCGCATCAATGAGAAGTCGGTCTGGTGCTGCGGCTGGCTGCCCTGCACCCCGCTGCGCATCGCGGCCACCGCGGGCCACGGCCACTGCGTGGACTTCCTGATCCGGAAGGGGGCCGAGGTGGACCTGGTGGATGTGAAGGGACAGACGGCCCTGTACGTGGCCGTGGTGAACGGGCACCTGGAGAGCGCCCGGATCCTCCTGGAGGCCGGCGCCGACCCCAACGGCAGCCGGCACCACCGCAGCACCCCGGTCTACCACGCCTCTCGGGTGGGCAGGGCCGACATCCTGCAGGCCCTCATCAGGTCGGTGCCCGCGGCCCTGGGGGCGGGTCCGGGGCGGGGCCATGGCAGGGGCGGGGCCGTGGTCCTGGGCGGCCTCCCTGGGGGTGTGGCCTCCCTGGGGGTGTGCCGTGTCGTGGGGGCCTGCAGCCAGGGCCTTGCTCCTCGTTTTCTGCATTTGCTTTTTCTCTCTCACATTAGACTGGTCAGAGGATTTGTGTACTTTGTTAGTCTTTTAAAAGAGCTGCTGCTTAGCTTTTTCATTTTTCAATTTTTTTTACTGGTTAAATGTCATTTTTTCTCTATTTTAAAAATATTTTCCTTAACTTTATTTTTGCTAGAACTTTTGAGTGGAGTGCTTATTCATTTTTTCTTGATGAACAATGTAAATATTCAGGGTTATTACTTTACCTTTGCCTTTAGCTTTGGCCATAGCCACTAAGTTTTTTCCTGATTTTTAAATAGGTAAAGCTGATTTCCTCTTTGTTCTTTTAGGACGGAGGAGAAAGTTTTATTTAATTTTATTGTATTGTGTCCAGACAGTATAACCCATCTGGTTTCTGTCGCTGTGGACAGTTGTCACAGATGATGCGACCATGGGTGTTTTGTTTGCGTGGTACAGTGTGGTGGCCTCAATTAAGTTATTCTTGTTTTACATTTTTAACCATCGGATCTGCCCAAAATTCAGAGACTCTGTTAGTCTCTAATCACTGCTGTGATTTGTGTTTCCCCTGGTATTTCTAGCAGTTTTTGTTTTCTATATTTTGATACTAATTTAGCTCATAGAAGTCCTTGCTTATTGGTCATGCTCCTTATCAAAACAAATGGGTTTTTTGGATCGGTTTCCTGGGAGGTTCCTTGCCTGGCGCTGAGGGCCGCAGGCTGGGATCCTCCGGGGTCGAGGCAGGTCTCCGGCGCCCACCCCTCTTGCCTGGCTTCTGGGACGCTTTGTTTTTCTTCATACAGTTCACTTCGCTGTAGCTCTGCTCCTGCTTCTGAATTCTGCCCTTATTTTATGTCTGTCCCAGGTCTGTGCTTTCTTTGCTTCCCTCCCTAGTGTTTGGGGTAGTTTGTGGTCTTCCTTTAATTGGACTTATGGTGACCTTCCCCCTTGCGGGAGCCAGGTGACATTTCTGTTGTCCACATCTCCAGTGGCCTCTGTCTGCCCAAGGTGCCTGTCTCCCTCCCTGGCTCAGGAGGTGGCCCTTCGGGGTGGGGGGCGGGGGGCAGAGTGCAGTGTAGGGGGCTGGTCCTCGGTGTTGAGGGTCTAGGCAGGGGTCCCGTGGTGACAGGCTGCCGTGGCTGCTTTGAGGGGCAGGGACCTGACACCCCCTTGCCTGGCACAAAACATGGTTTTGAAATTAGGTCCTGAGACTAGATTTATCCCATCAGAAGGTTTTGTGTACTACAGGGCTGTGAAGTTGGCTTCTGGGAGGGTGAATGGGGCGATGTGGTTGTCATGTTAGAGGGTGACAACATCAAGGTTTCTGGCCTGACAACCTAAGCCCCACATCTCTGCCCTCTGGGAAAGGTAAGTCATTGTTAACTTGGAAGTGACTCTGAGTAGGGTCACTGAGATTTCACTGGTCCCAGAAACCCCTTCGGGCATTTCAGTCAGTTGGTGGTGCACAGCTGCTCTGCACTGAGGCAGGCCGGCCTGTCCGGGGTGCCGGCGGCGCCGTTCTGGAGAAGAGTGCCCTCCCTGCAGCGGGGGACACTGTGGGGGCCCAGGAGCACGCACTGTGCGGGCTGGCGGAGGTGTCGGCTCTCCTGAAGGGTCAGGTGACTGACTGGGAGAGGGGGCGGGGTGATGTGGCCGCTTCCTGGGTGGACGGTGCGGGGAGACCGCCTGGCCCGCCCCGCCCCCGCCTGCCGGCCCTCGCAGGGCCCCGTGGTCATTCTGCTGCGGCGCTGCGGGCGCGCGCGCAGTGTGGAGGCCTCACTCACGTCGAGCAGAGGTCTTCTCTATTTTCCTTCTACATTTTTAACTATTGGATCTGCAAGTAAACCTCCATTTTGTTTCTTATAAATTCTCTTGATACGTGTTGCTGAGGTTTTTAGAGAAAGGTAAGGAGTGGTGTTCCTCTATGTGCAAAATCTCATTGGTTTACTGAGCTGTCCCCGGGGTTCCTTGCCAGTGATATTAAAGGCAGGCGGGCCAGGGGGCGGTGTTTTGGAAACTCTTAAGGATTAGAATGAACTGGATCTCATCCAGTGCATTTTTATGAGTGGATGCGGGGCTGTCGTATTGCCCAAAATTACAGACATTTTGGAAGACGGACCCCTAAGAATGAGGGAAAAGAATACCAGTGCTTGAAGGCCAGGTCTCCCTTCCTCAGTTGGCTGAGCCCGGGAAATGGAGTATGTGTCTGCTTGGAGTGGGGTGTGATTTGGAAAGTCTCCCCCGTCCCAGGACGCGTCGCAAGGGGGTGATGTTGGCGTCGGTAGTGTCCGACGGTGCCACACGGTGGCGTCTGCGGGGACTGGCGGTCTGTGCGCACACAGGTTGGAGGGCCGGCCTCCCACATGCCTGTGCTGCCCAGAGGGGCACTGCCAGCTCCATGGGGACACGCGGGACCACGGGGACCCAGCGCGACTGGGAGCCGTGACGGCGGGCCGGCCGTTTGGGGGAGGCGTGGGAGCCGGCGCTGCATCCCCTGCCCCTCGTCGCTGCCTACAGACCCCGCTTCCCGATTCTGAGGACGTTGCGATGACAGAGCCTGGGGGGGGGGGCTGGCAGCCACAGTCGGGTGCCCGTGGTCTCGGTGCCCCTCTGGCCGCCAGTGGTGGCAGTGATTTCCCGGTTGCCGCGGGGCCCGCCAGGGCTGCGCTCTGAGGTTCTCCTTTCCCCTCTCCAGAGAGGAGCTGCTCCGCAGGGCGGCCCTTTGCCGCCCCGTGTGTCCTCCGTCCCTCGTCAGAGTTCTGCGGCAGCCACGTTAGACTCGCGGCCTCCCCTCTCGCCCACGGAGCCGATCGCACTTCGTTATATTGCCAGTTAGTGGGGTGCTCAAGGTGTGTCAGGTGTGGCTGCGGGGAGCCACTCGCTTTCGTTTATAGAGAGGGAGGCGCCGATTTGCTGTGACTTCGGCAAACCGCGCTTGGCTTCTTGGTTGTGTTTTCCTTCGTTATTTAGGCATTTCCTGACACGGTCACGGCCTCCGGAAATGGGAGGTTTTTGCTCTTGCTGTTGGCCGATGGCTGTCTCCCGTCTCATTGCACTAACACCTTTATTTAAAACGCCTTTAAAAGTGGCGGCCGAGGGTGGGGGCGTGTCACCCAGGTGGCTGCGGGACAGCCGGTGGGTCCCTGGCGAGACTGCCAGGCACGGACCTGTTTTTCATCATGTTGGGAGATGCCGTCACCTGCTGTTTTGCTGAGTGCTTTTAAAGGGGCGTCGGTACCGAGTTCCGTCACATGCTTTTGTCTCCGCCCGCAGAGACGGTGGCGGCTTGTCCCCAGCTCCCCGCGTGCGATGGGTGACGTTCTCAGGGCTTCTGAGGTTGGAACAACTCCGTCCGTGCAGCGGCCGCCTCGAGGCCAGGGCACGTACTTTCCTAATGGCTTTGCTTTCTCTTTGCTAACATCTTAGTGAAGACTAAGTTGATACTCAGAAGTGAAATTAGTTGGTCGTTTTTCTTTGCGCTGTGGCCTTTATCAGGTTTTGGGATTACTGGTTTGGCGATCTCATGAGACAAAGTTGGAAGTTTCCTTCTTTTCATAGTCTAAGTGGCCGTGGGATTGTCGCATCTTTAAAGATCTGGAAGGTCTTGCCCGTGGGTCGCAGGTCCCTGACTGCTGCTCGCTTGCTGGCCGGAGCGAGGCTGCCGCGCTGCACGGGGGCCCCGGCGCGCCCAGTGCTCACGGAGCTCGGGCCGTCTCCTCGGGGTGCTGCGGGAACCTGTAGGCGCCCCGAGGTCTGATTGTCCCGTGTCCCCCTGTAGGTACGGGGCAGACGTTGACATCAACCACCACGTGATTCCGGACATCCGGCCCCCCTTTTCCCGGCGCCTCACCTCCCTGGTGGTCTGCCCCTTGTACATCAGCGCGGCCTACCACAACCTGCAGTGCTTCAGGCTGCTGCTGCAGGCGGGGGCCAACCCCGACTTCAACTGCAACGGGCCCGTCAACACGCAGGGCTTCCCCCGGGGCTCACCCGGCTGCGTCATGGACGCCGTGCTGCGGCACGGCTGCGAGGCGGCCTTCGTCAGTCTGCTCATAGACTTCGGCGCCGACCTGAACCTGGTGAAGTGGGAGCCCCTGGGCCCCGAGGCCCGGGGCCGGAGGAAGGTGGACCTGGAGGCCCTGCAGCTCTTCAAAGAGGCGAGAAGTAAGGGCCGGGCCGGCTCCGGCCTGCGCTCTGCCCGGGCGGTTGGGAGAACCAAGCTGTAGCGATTTAAAGAGCCCTCGGGCCAGGCACCTGGTTAGAACCTGCAGTTAGGGTTAGGGTTAGGGCTAGGGGCTTTCCGGAACGGTCTTCTGGACTGGCCTCGTCTTCTAAAATCCTTACATACTAACAGTTGATACCAGGAAATCTATAAAAGTGCACATGCTTTTCTTAAAAAAAGATTTTACTTATTTATTTCATTTTTAGAGAGGGGGAGGGAGAGAGAAAGAGAGGGAAAGAAACATCAATGTGTGGTTGCCTCTTGCATGCCCCCTACTGGGGACCTGGCCCGCAACCCAGGCTTGTACCCCAACCCGGAACCGAACCTACGACTTGGTGGTTCGCAGGCTGGCGCTCAATCCACTGAGCTGCACGAGCCAGGGCAAAAGTACATGTTCTCAAAATTGTTGAAGTTAGAGGCTCTTTGCCCCTTTTCCCTGCTTTGTGGCCCCAAATTCTTTCACTTCCGTTTGGTTTTTAACTGTTTGCTGTACACGGATTGCAAGCCCATCTCCCAGGGTCCTCCCGTCCCTTTCTTTGGGCTGGGATTGTGGGGCAAGCCTGATTTCTGTTAGGGTGAGTCCACAGTTTGCTCGCTTGCACATAAAGGTTTTGCTAGTGATTAAACAGAGAGGTTAGAGGCTGTAGCTGGGGGGGTCGGGTTGTGGCAGAGGCGCCCTCTGTGACGCAGGCATCTACGCTGAGCAGCCTGCGCAGGCCTGTGCCCTCTGCCTGGCCCGTGCCCCGTGTCCTGAGGGCGTCCGATTGGACGGCACATGGCCCTTCTCCCAGAACTTAGTTGCTGGATCTGTTGTTGCCATTAGCACGTGCTGCCTGGGGCGTCTCGGAGGCCTGGGTGGTGGGTGGCGGGGGGCGGCGGGGGCCGGCCCGCCAGGGTTAGGCCACCTGTGTCCACACCCGCTGCACAAGGCAGGGACGTGGCGAGGCTGGTCTGACCCTCCAGTGCTGAAGCTGGGGAGCTGGCCGCGCGCCCCCGCGCTGTGGTGCCCGTCGGTCACAGTGGCCTTGGGTCTTCAGCGTGAGGAAAGGAACTAACCCCTGCCTCCGTCTCCCCCTTTCCTCCCACGCGCCCAGGTGTCCCCAGGGCTCTGCTGAACCTTTGCCGCGTGGCTGTGAGGAGAGCTCTCGGCAAACACCGACTGCACCTGATCCCAGCGCTGCCGCTGCCGGACCCTGTCAAGAAGTTCCTGTTGCATGAGTAGCGGCCGGGTGGCCCGTCGTGGCGCCGTCAGCCCGCGTCCTGCCCGCCAGCCCCTCCCGGCGCCCACGGGCCTCGCCGGGCTCCAGCGGGGTTGGCGGCCGGGGCTCTGCGTTGCCACCCCTCAGGAGCCCCCCCCGGGGGTGCACGTGGGACCCGGCTTGTCATTCCTCAGTGTCTGTCCTGGGTTTCACGGTCGCCTGTGAGTGAGTGGCTCGGCCGGCGTGCAGGTGTGGGCGGAGCCTCCAGCACTTGCCAGAGCTGTGCGTCTGTTTGTGTTTTTACTTCTCAATCTGATTGTTTGATTCATCCTTCGAATACCAAGTGAAAAGGAAGTTTTGGGTAAAAAAGTGAGGAGTATAGAAATACATTTCACAAACTTGCTGGTTTTTCCTGTGCGCTGGGGGTGGACGCGTGACTTCTGTCACGTGCGCTCTGCCTCCTCGCCAGGCCAGCGCCCTCCCCCGGGGGTGGACGGTCCTGCGGTCTCTGGTCAGGGGTGGGTCCCTGGCCACACGGGTTGGCCATGTTATTGCGACATCAGCACCTGTGTGTGTTCGCGGTCGGAAGGCGCCTCTCCAGGCGCCCAGGGCTGCGGCTGCTCCGCTACCAGACGGTGCGCGGCGTCGTGCCGGCCGGTCCCGCGCTCTCCGCCGCCTCGCTGTGGGGAGCTCGCAGACGCCGAGTGGCCATGGGAGGCCCGGCCACCTCGCCTGCACCTGGGCCGAGGGCCGCCCAGCAGCGTCCACTGCCCGCTCAGCAGAGGAGGCCCGTCCCTGCACACGCAGGGGCACCACGCGCCCAGCTGTCACTTGCCCGTGCCCAGCGGGCAAACCCTCGTGGTCGTGGTTGCTCGCATCTTTTCTGGGCCTGATGCTGTGCAGTTGCTCCTGGAGCCTGAGAACGAGGATGGCAGTGAGCACCGGTCTCCCCCGCCTGCCAGCCGGGGGCCGGGGGCCGGGGGCCGGGGCCGAGCCGGGCGGCTGCCCTCAGACACCTGGGGCTGCGGCAGGGCTGCCTCGCACCTGGGCCACACGGCCAGGTGGGTGGCTGCCCCGCCAGGTGCGGCTGTTCCCAGGGAAGCCACGGCTGGTCACTTGGGGCCTCGGAGCCATGCTGTGGCTCCGTGGTGACTCTGGCCTTTAGAAGGGTTTAGAGATGGGCGGATGTCAAGTCTGTGGTTGATTTTCTGTAGGAAGGGAAACACAGTCTGTAACAATTGCACTGATGACGTGGGTTTATTTAATTACTAACATCGTTATGTGTTTTACCCACCAGACAGGCAGCGTCTGGTCCTGCTCTTCCGAGGCCCAAGGGTAGGGCTCTATGCCTGCCGCCCGTGCGGCGGCTGGGCTCCGAGCGGGAGAGCCAGGCTGCCCTGCGTGGCGCCGGAGGGGAGCCCTCCTTGCTTCAGAGGGGATGCAGGCACCGCAGGCCTGGCACTGTAACCGGCTGGGGCCCGAGGTCCGGCTCTGTGTCGCCCCTGAGGGACGGGGAGCCTGGGTGGCTGAGCGCTGGTCTGGACCTGCTGAAGTCAGGGTGGTCCCCTGAGAGGGGCGGGCCTGCGGGTGGTGTGTGCTGATGGAGGCTGTTCCCTGTGGCCGGGCAGGTGGCTGCAGGGGCTTCAGCCAGGGCCGGGGCTTAGGTGTGTTCCTGGGGGACCAGCGCGGAAACCAGGCTGCGGCTGGGTGGGGGAGGGGCGGGCGGCGCAGGGAGGGTGTTGGCAAGGGTCGTAGGGAAGTTGGAGTGTCCAGGGGTGGACAGGGCCCCTGGGCAGGCTTCACGTCGGCGGCACTGGGTGAGGAAGGCTCGTTTCCTTCCGGGGGCGGGCGCTGTTCACCTGTGGAGCTTTTCCAGTTCTGGGTCCCCTTCCTGCTCCCCGTCGGCCTGGTCCTCCCCAGTGCAGGGTGATGTGCGCACCATGCCTGTCTGCGGGGCGCTTTCGCCACGGCCTGTGGAGGACGAGGATGTGCCTCCCCCTCCCCGCCCTGGGGGAAGGTGGCTTTGTCCTTGGGCCTCTGAAAAGCAGCCCCCAGGAATGCCGCCAACCCAGGGGCCCACCGTGCGGTGCAACCCCCAGGTGGCACGGGGGCTGGGGCTCAGCCCACCCTTGGCAGGCGACAGGGACTCCCTGTGCTCGTCCAGCTCTGAGCGCTTCCTGCAGGATCCCTGCAACGCGGAGGCCCAGCCTATGGGGGACCTCGCAGCTGCCGAACGCAAACAAACGCAGCTGCCTGGAGGCAGTGTTTTGAGAGGCACTTGACCAAAGCGTCCGTCTCCTTGCGGGCAAGGACAGGCCAAGAGCAGGAGCAGGAGCCCCTTCCCTCAGAGCGCGTCATGAGAGCACGCTCATGCCCCGGCCCCCGAGTCCCACATGGACGGAGCTGTGGCTGGGCCCAGGGCCTTCCCCAGGGAGGGGCCGGGGACCGATGGGATAGGGGCCTGAGTGTCCCTCCAGCCAGCCTGGTCCCAGGCGTGTCCTGACAGTCTCCACTCCGGGCATCTGCTAGCCACTGAACACCGTCCTGTGCACGGGCCCTCTGCGGCCGGGGACAGGCGGGCCGGGCTGGGAGGCCGCGCCGATGACGCTGGGCATTCAGCTTTGGCTTCCTGGGGGGGCGGGGGGTGTTCGTTCCACTGCCTGCCCATGTCACGTGTTTGTGCCTTTCGTCTTATTTATTGACATATTTATTTATTTATTTGTGCCCTGCTTTGTTCCAGAAAAGAGATTAAGGCAGCGATGCTTTAGTTTTTGATGTTCTGTTTTGATACTTGCTAAGGTTTAGTCAACACGCACTTGTTAAACAGGTGCTTCTGGAAAGAAAGGGCGACTGGCCGTTTCCTGATGCGCCATGTGCTTCTGCCGTCCAGCCCGAGCGCCGCTGCTCTGAGCTTGTTTCCCTCTCCCGTGACCTGGCCCTTCCGAAGGGCGCTTCGCGCAGGCGCCGGTGCGGGGCGCCCGGGACACCTGGGAAGCGCTTTGTCCCTGAGCAGCGGCTGTGGCACGCGACCTGCCCTCCTGCGGCTGCTGTCCCTCTCCTCTCAGAAGCCGTGTACGCGAGGTGACTGAGGATGGCACGGTAGGAGCCCGTGGCCTCGCAGGTCATGCTTGACCGTGTGCCCCTCGGGCAGCGGGGGCTGCGGGCCCACAGTGCAGGCCTGGCACCGCGGGCTCCGTGTGGGTCCCAGGCGTGAGGACATGGGCCCAGAACCTGAGGAAGTCAAGTCCGTTCAACTCGCAGGGTGGGCTTTCACTCTGGAGCTACGTCCTTCCTGACTGGGCCATGAGACGTCCTTTAGTGAAGGCGGGAGGAGAGGGCATTATTTTTGTCTTTTTAAGAAACTCTTGGTTGCGGAGCCAATTGCAGGCTGCCTCTTGTCAAGCTGCAGAGTGTCCCATGCCTGCGCATCTCGGGGGTCCCGATGCCAGGGCCCCCGTGCAGCCGTGTGTGTTTACAGGACGGGGCACGTCCTTCCTGGACCTGGAAAACGACCTGTGTGTTCTCAGAGGGCCGGGGCGCTGCTGCTGCTGGTCGCCGAGGTCCCTGCGCACCACGCTGGGCGGTGCGCGCTGTGCCCCGGCGAGGACACGGCCAGCATCCCTGTGGCGAAGGTCCGCGGGCCGCCCCCGAACCCATGCGGGACCCTCCCGAGCGGCTTGTGCGGCTTCTCGGTGGGGCCCGGCACTCAGCGACCAGTCCCTGAGCGACCCCGTTCCCCGCCAGCTTGGATTGCCTCCTGGAGGCGCCGCCTCGGCCACGGGGTCACTGAGGCCCCCTCCCCCTCCCCCACTGGCTGCCGTGGTGTGGCGTGAAGAACCAGCGCACGCACACACATGGTTCGTGGGAGTGTGGCCCCAGGAGGCCCCACGGGAGGGACGTGCCAGGTCTGTGGGGTGACGATGAGCACATGGCCTCCCGTGCGGCCGCTGGGCCGTGGGTGACGTGGGTGGGGGCCGTGGGCGGCGGCAGCTGCTTTGGCGCGGGATAGCTCCGTGTCGGGGACGCGTGGGGAGCCGCCTTTTAAGTGGCTTTGATTTCGGATCCATACCAAGTAGCGCTCGAATGTGCCTGAACCCAGTTTGGTGTGGTGTTTAGGGACCGCTCCTGGGAGCGCCACCCTGTACGCTGTGGCGCTGGGGCCAGTGGTGTCCCCTGCCTGCGGCAAGCAGTGGTGCGCCCCGGCCGCGGTGCCTGGGGCGGGCTGAGCAGGAGGGGCGCACGGCCTCAGCGTCCCCCTCGGCTTTGTCCTGTGCGTGGGCCCCGCTGTCCCTGCCTTGGGCCTGGCCGAGGCTTCGGGAGCACGACGGACAGTCTGCCGTGTGCTGCTGTGACTTCAATAAACGCCTTCTTCCCTGTCACGCCTCCCGGTGCCTTCATTCCGTGGACGCTTATCTCGTGGAGCTGGTCGTGTGAAACGTCTGTGTCCGCCTCTGGGCAGTTTCTGAGGCTCAGAGAGAAGGGTGCGTGGGAGCCAGGCGGCGGGGGCGGCTCGGGCGCTGGCGCACGGGTTCCAGCGGCCGGGGGGCCCCGTTTTACTTAGTGGGGTTCTGCTCGGAAGAACGTGTGCCCCTAAAAGTGCTTGAAACCCACACTTTGGAGTGAGGCGGCTGTCCCTGCAGTGTGTCCACGGGGTGGGAGGCGGTGGGCACCACAGGCGAGACCCTTGCTTCGGGCCGGTCACACGTGACTTATCTGAGGGGCGGGGGGCGGGCTGAGCCGAACAGAGACACTCGTCCTTGCCCGGGCGGCTCCCTCGCTCGGCTGTGCGTCTGTTGTGTCAGGTCTTCCTTCCCCCTCCCCGCCCCCCGCCCCTGAAAGGGTGGCCTTTCTGCCTCAGGCCCTACCGCCCTGGCGCGGCGGTGACCCTGCCTGGGCTCCCGAGCCACTGTCCCCCTCCTGACATCAGAGCCCACACGGCTGTCAGCCCCGCCTCCGAGCAGGCGGACGGGGCTGCTGCCACGGGTCTTCCCCCAAATCCCAGGAAGATGCAGGGGATTCTCATAAAAAGCACACACCCACCTACGTGACCATACGAAAGAGCGCAGTTTTAGAACGTCACAGGAACACAGGTGAACAGTGACGACGCAGACGCCCGAGGAAACGACGCCGTGAGGAGGAAGTGGGCCCGAAGTTCTTGCCTGGATCAGAGGGCAGGCGTGGGCGGGCCTCGGGGATTTGGGGAGGCCGGAGGGGGCGGCGGGGGCTAGGGAAAGCCCGCCCCGCACAGGGGGCCGCTGCGGGGAGGCATGTCCTGTGGCCGGCACCTGGCCGGTCTGCGGGCACCTGGCCGCCCAGAGACCCTCCCGCGGCACCGCCCGCTGCGGCCCCTCCTCTGCTCGGCCTCCCCGCCCTCGTTTGCAAATCGAAGGGGCTGACTCGGCACCTTGGACAGCCCCCATGTCCTCTGTGGCGGCCGAACTCAGATGGGGCAGCTCACAGGAGGTGGGGAGCATGGGGGGGTAGGGAGGGGTCCAGCCTTGACAAGGGAGGGGACCGAAGGGAGGCGTGGGGACCGGGGGTCACAGGTCATTGCCCCAGTGTTTGTCTGGCTCTGGAAACCGAGAGCGTTTCCCCGAAGGCCCCTGACATCTAAATCCACTTGACCAGTCGTCCAGGTCCGGCCTGACCTGTTGCAGGACATCTCGCGGACGGGCCCTGGGAGGGCTGGCATCTCATCCCCGGGGCTGGGCCCTGACTGTCCTGCGCGGCCCAGGAGGGACGTGGTGCTCCTGCAGCGGCCACAGGCCCGGGGCCTGCGCGGCGTCCCGGCCCCCGGGAGTCCGGAGCAGATGGCGCTGGCCCTCGAGGGAACAGCGAAGGGCAGGTGGCGCTGGAGCACAGGTGCTTTGGGGAGAGGGGTCTTGGGGTCCTTCTGCGTAAAGGAAGCCATGGCGTAAAAGGCGGAGAGGCACCCGTGGGACCCGGGAGGCGTGAGGGTGAGCTGCCCTGACAGAGGGGCTGCGCCACTTCAGCCACCCTGGAGCGAGGCGCCTGAGGCCCCGGCACCCAGGCGCGGCCGCCGGTGGGCCCGGCACAGCTGGGAGAAGGGACGTCGGCCCTCGGGGCCCCTGTCCCCTGGTGGGGGATGTCCCCGCCGGCACAGTGCAGGCTTCGCCTCGGGCAAGGGAGGGCGTTTCTCCATAACCACCCTGAGTTCACCGGGGCGGCCGCAGGGCCGGGCAGATTTCTGTCCCTTGGACACCAAACCTGGGAGAAGGAACCCACCCCTCTGCTCTGTCCGCACCTCGGCCAGGCCCCAGCACGTCCAAGCCGGCTCGCTCCCGCCCTGAGCTCTGCTGCTCAGGCACTGGCCGTCTGTGTGCAGGGCGGTCTGGTGCAGGGCTGAGAAAATGCATCGTCTTATTTCACCCTTGACATTTTTATTGCAGGGAATTTTCAAGTCTGTGGGAAAAACCGGTGAAGCTGCTACCTTGGGAAATAATGACAGGAGACAGGTCAACCGCTGAGACAGGGACGGGGGAAGTGAGGAGCGAGGCGGGGGGCTGTGGCGGGGGAGTCAAGGGGCAGCGTTCGGCGCCTCTGCTCCCTCTGAGGACCGGAAGTTTCCCAGTAGGTGTAGGTTCCTGATAGTTTTTTCTCCGTGACTCTGATGTGACCTGAGCCTCCTTCAGTGACAGGGACCGGTCCCT